AAGTGAAAATGATGATTTTTTTCGAAATTCAACCATTAATGTTTGATTTGTAAAATTGTATGTTTATAACAAAAACGCAACTTTAATTAGAGTACTATAGATACAATTAAACGATATCGAAAAATATAATTGTATGATCAATATATATAATAGCAAACAAAAAAAAGAATATTTTTGGGTTGTGACTTTTCGTAAAAAACCGCTTAGTAGTTACTTTTAACGGTTATTTTCAAAAGTTGCATCTTTTCGTTAAAACCGCTTTTGTCAATAGTTGCGTCTTTTCGTTATAAACGTTTTGTCAATAGTTAGTATCTTTTCATTATAACTATTTTGTCAAAAGTTGCGTTTTTTCGAAAATAACCGTTAAGTTGTTATTTTTCGAAGTAACCGCTTTATGGTTCTCACTAAAAATTGCGTCTATTCAGAAAAATCATTTAGCATACATATATATATATATGTTTTAGTTTTTCTTTTTTTTTTCAAAAAACCACATTATGATTATTTTGAAAGGTTGGATCTTCTCGAAAAAATTGCTTTATGGTTATTTGCAAGAGTTGAATCTTTTCGTTAAAACCATTTTTGTCAAGAGTTGCGTCTTTTCATTGTGACCGTTTTGTCAAGAGTTATGTCTTTTCATTATAACTATTTTGTCAAAAATTACGTCTTTTTAAAAATAATTGTTAAGTAGTTATTTTTTCGAATTAACCGCTTTATGGTTATCACTAAAAGTTGCATCTTTTCAGAAAAATCGTTTAGCCAATATATATATATATGTTTTAGTTTTTATGTTTTTTCAAAAAACCGTATTATAGTTATTTTGAAGGGTTGCATCTTCTCGAAAAAACTGCTTTATGGTTATTTGCAAGAGTTTCATCTTTTCATTAAAACCGTTTTGTCTAGAGTTGCATCTTTTCGTTGTAACTGTTTTGTCAAGAGTTGTGTCTTTTCATTATCACTATTTTGTCAAAAGTTGCGTCTTTTCGAAAATAACCGCTTTTTGGTTTTCTTTAAGAGTTGCGTCTTTTCAAAAATGAATTTTTTGGGTTGTGATTTTTCGTAAAAAACTGTTAAATAGTTATTTTTCGAAGTAATCCCTTTATGGTTATCGTTAAGAGTTGCGTCTTTTAGAAAAAATCGTTTAGCCTATATATATATATGTTTTAGTTTTTTCTCAGTGACCATTTTGTTAATTATGGCTATTGGTTCTATAATTCACTTAAATCGTAAGATAGATAAAAACGTCAATCTATTATTTTTAAATTATTTTAGAATATTGATCTTTTTACTATCGATGATATTCCTAAAATTTTTGGTTTTTGTAAAGAATTTTGGACCTCTTTAGACAATGCAGATATTATTGCGTCTTTAAAAAAAACNGTTTGTTCTATATATTTGTGTTTTTAACTCTATATATTTTTTTGTTGAACATTTTATGTATTTTTATATGACTACCAATTTAAAATTTCACTTAAAGCATAACAATAATAAAAACGACATTCTATTATTTTAAAACTATTCAAAAGTATNGAATTTTTTTACTATTGTAGAAGTTCCTAAAATTATTGATTTGTGTAACAAATGTTAGAATTCTTTATCAAATACAGAATTTATGGCTAAATTTTAAATTCTATGATGTTTTAATTAATGCGCCATATGGTTACATTATTTTTTTATAAAAAACTATTTTATATATGGTTATTAAAACATCTAAATGATGCGTCTGTTCGAAAATTAATTTTATGGTTATTAATGGATCATTGGATTGCATTTATTTTTGAAAACACTGTTTTATAGTTATTAAAGCAATTAAGGCTTCCGTCTTTTCGAAAAATTCATTTTATAGTTATTGATCAATCATATGGTCGTGTATTTTTGAAAAACCGGTTTTCTGGTTATTAAAACTTTATAGGAATGCGTATTTTTTAGAAATCCGTTTTATTGTTATTAATAAATCCTATGATTGTATCTTTTCATAAAACCGTTTTATGATTATAAAAGCATCTTAGAATTGTGTTTTTTCGAAAAGTCCTGTTTATGGTGATTAATGCATCATACAATTGCGTCTTTTCGAAAAATCTATTTTATGGTTGTTAAAACATGTAAGGTTGCATTTTTTTGGGAAAAATCTGTTTGATGATTATTAATACACCAGAGGGTTACGTCTTTTTCAAATAAATTGTTTTATAGTTATTAAAGCATATAAATGTTGCATTTTTTGATTAAATCTATTTTATATGGTTATTAATCCATCATATGGTTGCGTCTTTTTGAAAATACTGTTTTATGGTTATTAAAGCAACTAAGTGTCACGTCTTTTGGTTGCTTTTTAAAATTTGTTTTATGGTTGTTAATGAATCCTAGGATTGTATCTTTTGGAAAAACATTTTTGTGATTATTAAAGCATCTTAGAATTGTGTTTAAAAAAAAAAATTTTAATGCATCATATGATTGCGTCTTCTCGGAAAAACTTGTTTTATGGTTATTAATGCATAACATGTTGTGTCTTCTAAAAAAAACCGTTTACTGGTTAACAATGCATCCTAGGGTGTGTCTATAATTCTGTGAAAATATATGGGTTGCATCTTTTTTAGAAAAAATTATGGTTATTTAGACTTCAGTTAGGTCTTTTTTTGTAGCTTCTTCTTACGTACATTGCCATGATTTACCTTTTGCATTGTACCCATATTTGTATACATTGTCAATACTAATTGTTTTCAAATGGCAATCCTAGCAAATATATATATCATAGAATTGCATTTAAAAAAAAACTATTTTGTGGTTACTGATACATAGGGTTGCGTTAAAAAAAACAAATATTTATTTTTTCATTAATGTATCATAGGATTGCTTATTTTTCAAAAAAAATGTTTTGTGGTTATTAACGCATAGGGTTGCGTCTTTTTTTTGGTGTGTGTTTACTTCTATTTCAAAGTCTTTGATGTTAATAATTTATATTGTTCAGTTTCTATATGATTTCATATATGTTTAATTTCTTTATTACATAGTTTTTATATGTCAAATTTGGGTTAACTCGATTTGAGAATTGATAATAAACAATGCTTTAAAATCTTTTAAAGATGATTATGAGTTTATGTTCACATATGTTTTAAGAAATAAATCGTATTTTTGGATATGTTAACAATTTTTTTTTTTAAAGTGTGGTTGGATATTCTTTACCTCTGCGAAAATCGCGGGGGGTTCGAATCCTAGTTACTAAAACAAAAGTGAAGAAAAAACAAATAATATGGTGGTTACTCAAAGTATTTATTTAATGCAAGTTAACTTATAGTAGTTTCCAAATTTATTTATTTTAATGTGGAATTTTGTAATTTCAAACTGTTTTAGAG